TAAAATAACTTTTATATGCACCGGGAAACCAAAACATTCGTGTGACTCGCTTTATTGCGGTGGTCTGGAACATAACCCGCAATATATCCGAGGTATGCCTGTACATGTAGATGAAATTAGTTTCTTGATAGTGTTGTTTAAGGAAGGGCAATGCCCCGACTAGATTCGCTTATCTGTCATATTTTCAGAATTCTCCTGATGACAGTAGGTAGACTCCTTTCAAATACGCAATTCCAGTGTCGTCGTTTCGTCATGTATGCTACAGAAACGTTACCTTAGCCCCGTGTATTAATTATGGATGCTGAGGGAAGAAGTATTGATGATGTTTGTGTCGGATTGGTCCATCGTCAAAAGCAACAAATAGGGGTTTAATAAAATGAAACTATCGATTGAATTTGCTCATCGATTTTCGACGACGCCATATAATTGGGGGGGGGGGGGGGGGTTACACAAACCGGCGAACTACATGGCTAATATCCTGACGAAGCTTGGCTGTTTTCGTGAACTGTAACTAATAACGGGATTTGAAATATAAATCTTCTAAAAATAACTTGTTTAGTTCAGGGGTGCCTGTGGCATTCCATTTGTGGTATCAGTGACATAAGAGGCTGCGCCCTCTCGTTTCCAAGCACTCGGTCTAGATTCTAATCCAAATATGACAAACATATTTGAATAACTTCAACTTCCTTTCTAGTACGTTGATTCTTCAATGTCATTTATTATGACTGTAAGAACTATTTTATTTTATTAGAAAATATGAGTCGAATTTGACGTAGAAAAATAATTGTCTCCCTCGTTTTACATTTGTTAATGCAAACAGCAACACTCGTTTTGGGATGTCTTGTAATGCACAAACGATGCGGTTTTCCTCAGTCACTTCCACGGTCTGTTTGTTCTCGTTAGCACCCTGTTCTGAGCACCGTCAAATATTTTTTACTGTAAGGCGAATGAATAAGTTTAACTTGCTACCGTTCAGATCAGCCGTAATTAGAAATACAAATCGATATTATTATATTATTGTTTGTTATATGCGCGTATTCTTAAAATTTAAATATGTTCTCTTTTTGAATGCAATTTTTATTTGTGTCCGAGATTTTTATTTTATTTGGTGTGGAATTACCGCCAGATTTTTTGAGGTTATAGATGTCCAAAGATAGGCTGCCTTCCGGGTTGTTGCGCCGTGTGGTCTGGTGGAAGTTTGCCGAACTTACATCAGGGATCGCTCTGATCATGGAGGCAGCTTGGCCTCTGAAACGTTGGTGGAAAATCTACCATTCTACACAGCGCAACAACCCAGAAGACAGAAATCTTCATACTCACTGCAGTGAGAACCTCAAATCTTACTTAATCATAAAGGTCCCGCCGTGGTGAAATTATGCAAAAATGGTTACACACATGAGTTCAGTGTTGAAAGAAAATGCTTTCTGTGTTTCTTGGCTCCTTTGGCCAAGTTCCGCATAAAAAGAAAAATTCCAGGACAATACGATATTGTTTACCTTTATTTTCTACAGTTGGTAGTTCCGCGAACAAACCACTTGTGATTATTTTAGTCATTTGCAGCATTCCCGCCGCGGAAAGCCTATTAGGTTACTCCTTGTCCGTCTGTCCGCCCTCACGCATTTTAGAACTAGAGAAAGGCCGAAGGGATTTTTATGAAACTCCGGTAATAGCAAAGTTACAGGCGCTGAAAGTCCTCGCAGTGATGCCAATACCCAGTAAAAGTTTCTTCGCATTGCGACTAACGCGCCACGGTACGTCGGTTTTCGGCGAAGTCGCAAGGATTTTGGTCGACTCAACGTATGCGGGGGATCCCTTAGTTTGGTAACTTGGGATGCCGACCAAGGGCTCACTGAGGTCACCCACGGGCATCCGAATGGGGCCGAGGCTGTCCCTGATAAGACTGCCAACGAGTTGCACGCCCAACTAGTTGGCAGACCTGACTGTGAGGTTTTCCACGCTTTTCCTCAGTTGTAAAGCAGATGTCAGGTCGCCTACTCCAATCTTGGAGGCAAAACGAATCTCTCTCCCCCCCCCCCCACC